CTCAGCCCGGCCAGGGGCGCTACGCAAGTCCCCGGCTCGGTCCCGGCCGACTAGGCCGCGCCGGAGCTCCCGAGACCGGAACTCTCCCTTCCTCACGCCCCCTTCCTCCTCCTCCTTCCTCTCAGGAGGCCCCGCTCCGGGAGAAGTAAATAAACATTTTTTTTCCATCTCTGTCGCCCAAAATACAGACTCGGAAGTCTATCTCTTTGTGTGTATATATAGACATATAAAACGAATTCCGCTTAAACGGGAGGGGAAAGAAGGAGGCTTTTAAGTTCCCTCACCGGCTTTCTCTTTCTCTCAGTTTTCCCGGCCCGTGAAGTACAAAAACTATCCCCTCATGGAATTAAAAAAAAAGAAATTAACACGAAGTATTAATTGTTACTCTCATGAGGACTAGCGGTGAGGGGAGGGTTTCTTGGTATTATTACTATTGTTACTCGGAGTATTATTATGATATTGAGGGGGGATAAAGGAGGGAGGGAGGGAGGAGGAGGGGCGTGGCTACCGCCGCCGCTTAAAGGGCCCGCGCGCCCAATTCCCGGCGCCGGCAACTTTTACCTGAGTCTCCACCGCCGCGGCCGCCACCACACACACTGACAACTGAACCCAGCGCGGCCCGCGACCGCCCCCCTTTCCCCGGGCCACGTGACGCGGGAGGGGGCGGGGCGACGGGGGAGGAGGAGCTGCAGGAGGAACAGAGCCGCGTAAGGCCCCGTGTCACGTGAGGAGGGGGACGGGTTGGCCGCGCCCCTTTTCCCTTCTCATCCGTCCGCTCGCTACGGAGAGGGCGCGGCTCTGGGAAGGAAGCGGCGCATGCGCACTTCTTTTTTCCCTGTTTCCGGGGAGTCATGGGACGCCCCGCCCCTCCAAAGGAGGGGCTTGTTGTATTTCCCCCCCCATTTAGGCACTTTTTTATTTACTCCCCCCCATATATGTCTGACGAACTGATACACGAAAGCTAGACTTTTCAGATGCCACATAGTTTTGTTTGTTTATTTCTTTGGATTTGGCTTCGACTTTTTTCCCTTTGGTCTCCATTTTTCGACGGACACTTCCGGTTCCCGGGCGAACGCTTCTGTGGAGCAATGCGGGGCTGGTCCCGCGGTGGGGGAGGGAAGGCGGGCGCCTCGCACCTTTTTTTCTCTGCGGGTGTGAAGGAAAGGAAACGTCGGGGACTCATTTCACGAGGGGGGGAGCAGGGCCGGTCAGTGAGAAGACAGACCAGAGGGGGGCTTGAAATGCTCCCCACCATACGGCCTTCCATTGGGAGCCGGAAGTGGTGGCCCAGGTTTTATCCAAACCCAACCCTTGACTCCCTTTTGCTTTGCCACACCCGAGCGTCACATACTCCCCGCCGCCACCCTCACCCAGAAGACCTTTTTTTCCCTCTCCCTTTTCCCTCCCCCTCCCCATTTTCAGGGTCACGAAGCCCCTCCCCACTCAGACATCCCTAAGGCACGCTTTTCTTTCCCCACTTCCGGTCCCGTGACCAAAACTTCCGCCTGCTTTCCGCGCCCTTCTATACCCTCCGTGGTGTTTTTTTTTTCCTCCCATGGAGCCGCGGCTCCCCCCCTCCACGTCATCTGTGACCTCACCGGCGGCCCTCGTCACGTGACGCGGAGAAGCCCCAGGCCGGCTTCTCAGCCCGCCATGTTGTGTGGGGCCCCCTGCCTGGGCTGAGCAGGGCCAGGCGCCCGCGATGGCGGCCTCTTCCTCCTCCTCCTCCTCCTCGCCTTCCTCGTCCAGCAACTGGCTCTCGGGAGTGAACGTCGTGCTGGTGATGGCCTACGGGAGCCTGGTGAGGACAAAAGAGGCCGAAAGAGCGCGGAGGGCCCAAAAAAGGGGAGAGCGGGGATGAGGCTCCGTTTCCCTTTTGTGGCCCTCAAGGGGCCCACTGGGCTCGGAGGAGCCGCCCCGCCCCCTGGAGGGAGGGGTTTCGGGGACTACAACTCCCATCACCCCCACCCCCGGATTGGGGGAACATGGGACATGTAGTGCCTTTTTAAAAAAAAACCCTAGAAACCACCCAGGATGCCTGAATAACCATCTCTTAGGCATGGGACCCCCCCATTAAAAAAACACACACAATTCTGTATCTTCTCCCCCATCCCTTATAAAAGGGGAGGGACAGGGAAAGGAGTGGGGTGTGTCTTTTTAAAAATCATGCCATAAATTCTCCCCACCCCCCAATTCTTCTGATTCAGGGGTTCCCAAACTGGGGGTTACCAGAAAGGCTACAACAGCCCAGCTGGGGGGCGAAGGCTTCTGGGTGTTGTAGTCCGAGAACATCTGGGGGCCACTGGCCTGATTCATGCATATCCTTGGGAGGCGGGGGCGGTTTCTGCTTTTCTCTTTCTATGCTGCCGTTAAGAAGATGCCATTTTCTTAATGTTTGCTCTAATACAGACCGTATCCTTTCCCAAACAGGTATCTCCCTGAGTCTCTTGTATCAGAAAAGAAACTAGAAATAGTTATCTGGGGTCAATAAAATTAACTTTTTTTTTTCTTATCCCATAAGCTACACCCTCTGTAGGCTTAAACAAAAACAGTTTTCTGTGCCATTAGATCTCCTAATCTAATCATTTGAACCTCTGCCAGCCAATAAGGCTCTACTCAGCACCGCTGTGTTGGAATTTACAGCTTTATTGTCCATTAAAGACCTACCCCTGGGAATGACGCTTGATGTCGCCTACAATGGTATTGGCCTACTGTGTCTCAGCATCACATTGCTGGCTCAGGGGCCATGTGCTCTATATATATTTCATCCATGGGGGCTCCTCACATGTGCGTCTCAAGAGTTGAGAGATGGAGGCTGCCCTGATCTCTGAAGATCTGTAAGCCTGTTTCTGCTTATGTTTGAGGAATAATGCTGCTTCTTTCTTCTCCACGTTTCCCAGGTCTTTGTCCTGCTGTTTATTTTTGTCAAGAGACAGATCATGCGCTTCGCCATGAAGTCCCGTCGCGGTCCCCACGTTCCGGTCGGTCAGCATGCCCCTAAGGTATGCCAGCAAGCATGACATTTGTCCCAGGGCGCCTCTGGAAACAGAGAAGGCTAAACCATTTCTGAGCACTGTCTACCCTGAAAAGGGTCCCCATAAGTTAGAACTGACTTGAAGGCGCATGATTATTATGATTAATGATCTTAACTTCCCAGCTATGCTGCTTTCTGCCAGGCCCCATTTTTTATCTTCTTTTCCCTGTCCCGCTTGCTCCAGATTTCTCCCTGGGGTCTCACATGCCAGTCTCTCCCAGCTGAGCAGCTAGCAGGACCCTTTGAAAGTGGGAAGGGTTTGAATGCAAGACGTTCTGGGTTCCAAACATGCTTTTAACTGCCGATCTCCTGCTCTCCTCTTCCTCTGCCCAGGGTCTGAAGGATGAGATCGAAATCCGGCTGTCCCGAGTCCAGGACATCAAATATGAGCCTCAGCTTTTGGGTTACGACGATGCCAGGCTACAGCAGCTTGAATCCCCTAGAAGTCTGTGTGACATATATTATCTCAACTGAGGGGAGAGGGCTTGGCAAGGTTGGGCACATGGCTAAGCATGGGCAGATTTCTGTCATTCCCAGAATTTGACAAACAGATTGGGCCCTTAACACAGAGGCTTGGCAAACCTTGTTTCTCTCTTGGTTTCATTTGTTCTGCTTCCCCTGTTGCAGAGTGTTGGATTTTTGCTTAAATTCCTCTCGCTTGGCAGCAGAAATGTAGTAACTGGCAAAGCAGAATAGCTTCCAAGTTCCATAGAGTAGCCCACCCCTTTTTTCTCTCATCAACGGGCACTTACAGTCTCAGTAAATCACTTTAAGATGTTAGTAGGAGAAAGGATGATACGTTTTGTTACTTGCAGTTGAACAGATCAAACAGCACATTGACAAACGTCTCTGCTTTCAGCAGCGGAGTTCAGCAGACTCCAGAGAGGGAAAGAACACTGGGCGTAGAGGCGGGGCTATCTTTGAAATCAGAAGAAGGGAAAGAATGATTGGTTAGTGCTGGATAGATTGACAAATCTATCTTTGGTCCCTCCCAGCCAAAACTACTAATCATGTGAGGTTGTAAAAACTCCAACATCCCGTTACACATACACACACATTTCCCCCCCTAAGGAATTGCATTAATTGAAGTGTCTTGGCCTTTTTCTCTTGTCTTGCAGGTTGCTATAACTACATCTACAGGATGAAGGCGCTGGATGCTGTCAGAGAGTCAGGTAAAAAAACATAAAACATCAGCTCACCTCTGTTAAGAGGCAGGCTCTCCAGGTTCATAGCCCAGAACGGCTACGCTGACAAAATTTCCCCTCCACACACCTCTTGAGAGTCCCCACATTAGGGATTCAACTCTTGAGTCAGGAAAGATTTTAAAGCGTTAAGCTAGTAACACACCCTTGGATGTAATGGGTAGTCCTTTCCCCCCCGGAAACTGCTTCAGGAAGAAAGAGGGAGGGAGGGAAACGAGAGACGGATGAGGACGAGAAATCCCCCTCTTTTGCAAAACAGCCCAAGGTGGCATCTTGCATCTAAGATGGGAAGTGATTAAAAAAAAGTTCCCCTTGACAATTTTTGTCCAGTCGTGTCCGACTCTAGGGGGCGGCGCTCATCCCGCTCTTCAAGCCATAGAGCCAGCGTTTGTCCGAAGACAATCTTTCCGTGGTCACATGGCCAGTGTGATTTAGACACGGAACGCTGAAAAGGGTTGGATATTGAACCAACCTCAGGATTCATCTTCCTTAGAATCTAAGATGTCATTCTTTTATGTTTGGGGAGAAATCAAGTTTCTAGTCCTTGTGGCTGCCCACCGGGATCTCCGCGTTTCCCTCTTTGGATTCCCTGGCTAGCTGGGATTGAGGAGTGGAAAACCTCCCTTTTCTTGCCCCACCCGACCTGGGGCGCCATTGCTGGTGTTCTTCAGCCCGCGTCGAAGGCATCGCCCACTTATTTTCTCCCGCTTCTCTCAGCAGAGATCCCGTTTGTTTCTGAGGGGAGACACCCCAAATCCTTAATCGGGAAGAACTTCCGGTCATACCTGGTGGACCTGCGGAACTCCAGCACCCCTTTCAAAGGTACCCGCAAGTCTCTGATCGACACCTTGCTGGACGGCTACGACAACGCCCGTTACGGGACAGGGGTGAGTGTCCTCTGCCTTCTGGGGCTCCGGCGTGCCGGTGGCAGGGAGTTCCAAAGTCTCAGTGCACCAGCAATGTTAGCCTCCATGTCTCCTCTCTTTTTTGGAGGCAGGCAAATGTAAAAAAGACGTTTCCTGGGGAACTCCTTGACCTCCTTTTATCTCCTTCCTGGTTTAGACGTTCGGCAAGACGGAATATCTGAAGTACCAAGACGCGTTGTACGAGCTGGCAGCCATGTGAGTCGGGGGGCCAGGAAGGAAGGAGGAGGGACGGGAAGGTAGCTTCGTGGGTCCCTGCTTTCCCACGTCCATTTAGCATTTTCTCGGGAACCTTGAGGACTAGCACCTGGCTTAGCCCACCTTAGTGTCTGCTTTGCATTTGGAAGCTGAGAGAAGCCACCCTGTCTGAAAACCTGGCTTCCACTCCATCAAGAAGCAGTGGTTTTCAAACTTGGGCCCTTGGATCTTCTTGGACTACAATTCCCAGGTTCCCTTGCCATTCTCGACCATGCTGGCGGGGACCCCTCGGAGGTGGAAGTCCTACCAGTGTCCGATGGATCCATGATAGGCGGTAGAGATGGGAACTGGTGATGTTTTTTGGACTACAAATCCTGTCCTTCTCTCTGCTGGGAGTTCTACCTGATAAGACACTTAAATGCGGCTCGCCTGGGGGAAAGGCCTCAATTTGGAAAGGTTTGAAGCGGCGCACGGCCTAGCTTCCTGTTTTGACTCCAGTGCTAGCTGGGAGATTTTCTTCTGAACAGGAAACTAGGCAGTGTGTCTTGATTATGCACCTCTCCCTCTCTCTTTCTCTCTCTCTGCCCAGTATTAAGTCCCGCAGCGGCAGCAGCCGGCAGCAGCACCAGTCGGCCGCCAAGGATCTGACCCTCTCTCCGGACATCTCGGGCCCCACCATCCAGGTCACCTACCTGCCCTCCAGCCAGAAGAGCAAGCGGGCCAAGCACTTCCTGGAGCTGAAGAGCTTTAAGGACAACTACAACACCTTGGAGAGCACGCTGTGATCCTTCCCTTCTCCTTCTCCTTCCCAGCTGCAGCCACACACAGCCGAGAGGGGCACTGCTCTGCTGGCCGATGCCACCGGCTCTGCCTGTCGCCTGCCAGGACACCGATGGCTAGAGGGCTGTCCTTCCGATGTGAATGTAGACCTTGTCGCGGAGGGGCGCATCCCGAATCCTCTGTTGATGGTCCCCTCGTCCTCCGTGCTCATCTCTGGACAATCCTTGCAGCTTGTAAATACTTCCTCCCTTGACCTGTTTATTTCTACATCCGCGGGGATGCTCCCTCGTTCCTCTGCTGCCTGTCCAGGGAGGAGAGCGGCCCCATCTTTATTGTTTCTTAAAACCAGGATCCTCCACCTGCACAGAGGAAATCAAAATCCACTTCCTGTCCCTCCTCCGTTCCACATACACACCCACCCACCCTCCAATTATTTATGAACCTTTTCGTCCCTAAATTCTACTTTACTTTGCATGGAGGTGCCCTGGCCTTCCACACGAGTCAGGGACCAGGGGTGGATCTGCAGACCCGAGTGCGAGAGACGTTCAAGGTCTCGACCACCCACGGGGTGAGTAAACCTGGTGTTTGTTACTGAGTCATTCCGGGGCCATATTCAGAAGGTCTCCCCTTTCCATCAAGCGGGGACACAGTCCAGCCTCGAAGTCTTTTTTAAATGGCTGTTTAAATAAAATGGACATTGGCCCGGCCACAAGGTTCTAGTCCTCTGTGTCGTGTCTCTGGAGAAAGATGCCCGCAAGGCCACGGGTGGCCTGGAACGCAGCCGGTCACGCAAGCTGTGGCTATCTTCCTATCCTGGAGGGTCTTGGAAGTTTTCTGGGGAGTCCTCGCCTCTCCTCCGCCCGATGAAAAGAGTCATAAGTCCCATGCTGCTTGCAAAAATTAACATCAGAAGCAGGGAGCTTACGGATCAGACCACATGAAGGGGGGGTTTAATGAGATTTTTCTCATTAAGAGAGCTGTGATAAACAGCAGCCCCAGGGGGCCCTGCTAAATTGGGTCTTCAAATCATTTCATCTGCAGGAGAACAAAGCGAAGGCCCTATTGAGGTCAGATGGACTACAAGTCCCATCTGCTGTAGCAAGTTTTTCACTGGGGAGGAATCATGGGTCTTGTAGTATCGGAGAGTGTGAATGAGCAGGCCTCCTGATTTACAAAGTCTGTTTCTATCCTGCCTCAAGTGACCCCCCTGGGGTGTCCGAATACACCCTGATTCGGTCTCTGGCTGCAGAGCCAGACATTGGAGGTTCAAATCCCCCACTGGGCCTCCTTGAGAGGGGCTGGACTCGTCCATAGGGACCCTTCCAGCTCTGCCATCCAGAGTTTATTATTCAACCTTCTCAAATCTCCTTTTCTCTCACCCTAAAATAACCCCATAAATAGCAACAGCACCCGGAATGGATTAGTCGCTGGCTTTCACCAGATACCGTTTTCCCCGGCTGTCCATTTATGGGGATTGTGGTGGTTTGCCCTGAATAAGAGCCTGAGGGGGTACTATAGGCAGAAGAGGGTGTAGATCCCACGAGGGTGGGGGGAAATAAACCCCAGAATCAATCCCTTATTTAGGGCACCTTTCATTTTCCCTCCAGCCTGACTTTGAGCTGTTCTGCCTTCCGCAACCAGTAGGTGGCGCTGTTATCTGCTGAATGGGGTGGACTGGGTTAGTCTGTTAAGAGCAGCCTTAAAAACCATTTCAGCCGCAGTGGCATTGTTTGGGGGGGGGGATTAAGTGGTACAGAAGGAGAGGAACAGCCCCCAAAATACCTGTATATTTTAGCTTTAAAATATAACCATATCACCAGCTGGGTGCGGTGGGTTTGATGAAAAGTATTTGCATTTTCTTTCATTATTAAACTTCTCTGCTGCCTAATTCATGGGGGCAGCCGATCTGATCTGTCTCTGCCAAGCCTTGATTTTTTTCTAATCCTCATTCCAAGCTGTGTCAAGCTTTGTGTGATCTTGTGGCAGGGAGTTCCACCAGCTTGCCCATGGGCATAACAGGAAGATCTCCACCCCCCGTCTCTTATCATAGGACTCCAGTTCAGGCAGAATCAGAACAGAGTGAGATTTTTTTTCTTACCCGCTTTCTCCAGACCATCCATCGTTGATTACACCCTCCACCCTCTTGCTCTCCTCCCCCACCTTTTGGGGGGGTCAGTTAAAAAGCCCCCAACCTCAAATATATATATTTTAATTTTCCAGCCCCCGTTGGGTCTTTCCTGCAGTCTTAAGAAGGGTGTCACTTCACCTCTTTAAAGTACTAGGAATGAAATACACAAATTTAGGATTCCAAATTTCCTCCCGCCTTGTCCAGGAGGATTTGGAGTTTAAAACATCTCCCTTGCCTTCAAAAAAAAAAAAAAGCAATGCCCGGTTCAATCATCTCCAGGGAGGTCTGGGAAAATTAGCCGCCCGAAGTTCTGGCCCGCTGCTGCCATTCAGAGTCGGCATCGCTGGCCCCGCCGGCGTAAGGATCAACTCTGGCTCCTGTTCCCAAACGCTGGCATTTTTAAAAAAACCTTGATCCTCTCCTCCTTCTGGCCGATGCAGATCCGGATTCGAGGGTCCCGCTGCTGGACTCCCTGGCCTGATTTGACACAGGGGTGGGCCGCTCTGTCGTGCGTGGGGCATTTTGACGAGAACGAGGACTGACAGCTCGGCTAATGAGCGAGGAAGGAAACGACCCCGTTCGGTTCAGCCTTGTCAATAACCAGAACCACAGTTGGCCATGATGGACCCCAGAGCTGAAATACGCCAAGGTCACCCCCGGGGAGGGGAGGGGAAGAGGGTGGGCTGGATAATGGGGCCACGATCATCATCAGCAGCACACAGGCTGTGTTCGGTGAGTGGACCATCTAACAAAAGCTGCTCTAGAGGATGTATTTGTGGGTCAAATTTTTTTTTAAATCCCAGCATCTCAAGAGATAACCGTCTTAAGTTTTGATGGGTTTAAGGCTTGGGATTTTTTAAAAGGAATTCCATTTTTTATTTAAATATCAACCTGGCTTTGGAAAATGAAGGACCGGACCATAGGAAGAGCAGCGCATCAACCCATCTCAGGTAGCCCCCGAGTGACCGTCTGGACAGAGAAGAGTCCTCTGTTCCAGAGCTCGGAAAAGTAAATTTGGGGCGGGGGTGGTGGGGAAGACAAGAATACCCATCGTCCCCCAGCCTGGCTGGCCACCAAAGTCCACAAAAAGTTGTGTGGTTTTTTCTCCGCCGTAAAGATGAGCATTCAAATCCATGGCTGATCCAAAAAGACGCTCCTTAATCTTTGTTAGGGTGTTACCATATTTTTCCATGTATAAGACTATAGTTTCGTCTAAAACCTTTAGAGTAAAAACTGAAGGTCGTCTTATACACGGAAGCTGTGGAGAGAACAAAAACAAGTGGAGGGGAAAGCAGGGATCAAAGCAATCCTGCAGTGCTTTGATCCCTTTCCCCCTACACTTGCTAAGCCCCACTTAGATTTCTTAATTATACACAGAAAAATACGGTGTTTGTTTCAAGACTTTTTAACCCAGCCTGCCTTCAGCACCCTCAGGATGGATAAGCATCCATGCCGAGGACTGCCCTGGAAGTCGGCTTGGGAAGGATGATGACCAGATGACCGAGGAGTTCTGGATAGCTCAGTGTTTTAGGTTTTTGGCTGTGGAGCCAGAGGTCGGGAGTTTGAATCCTCCCCGGGGTCCTCCTTGACGGGCTGGACTGGATGACCTCGAGGGTCCCTTCCAGCTCTGCCATTCTATTGTTTTCAAAGAGTTACATATTTTGGATCCTCCAGCCACCAAGGCTGTTTTCGGGGGCGCTGGGCAGGGGGCGAAGCTGGAGAATCCCATTTCCGGGCTTTGCAATCCGATGGCGACGATGGCCAAGCTACGACGGGCTGGATTTGAACCGCTGGGTGATGGAAAAGAACACCCAGCTTGCTTGCAGGGCCCCGGCGTGGATGTGTCCCATTTACGGGCACCCGATTCCCTCTCCGCTCCCCACCCCGGGCCAGCCGGCCTCCTCCCCGTTGTGCTTTACAGGCGAGGATCAATCCCTCGGCTCATCGGCGGATGCGACGGGCTGGATTTGAACCGCTGGGTGATGGAAAAGAACACCCAGCTTGCTTGCAGGGCCCCGGCGTGGATGTGTCCCATTTACGGGCACCCCAGTCCCTCTCCGCTCCCCACCCCGGCCAGCCGGCCTCCTCCCCGTTGTGCTTTACAGGCGAGGATCGATCCTTTGGCTCATCGGCGGATGGAGATTGCCCCATGGCCATGGAGCGTGTTTGGGTGGCTGTAGGGGGGTGGTTAACCTTGGGAATCTGGCAGCTGGCCAGGAAAGGGGGAAGGGGTGTAAATCTCAGGCAGAGAGGGGCTTCAGCCCGGCAAAAACATCATCCTCTCTTTTTCTCTTCGCCAGGATTGTGGCTTCAAGCTTCTCAGAGGTGTTTAGATACCATTTTGGACTAGAATTCCCCCCCCACACACATTTGCCTTTTTGGACTACGATACCCCAAATCCCCCTCCCAGCCAGCCTGGGACCCTCTCCCCGGTCCAAAATGCACAGCTGGGTTCTCACCGTCTCCTGCTCAAACTGTTTTCCCAACCCTCTGACCATGCCGGACTACAACACCCACCTTCCCCAGCCCTCCCCGCGGCCCAGGGAGGATGGGTTTTCCGATCCACCCCATTTCCCCTTGTTTTTGTTCCCTTGTTTTAAATTCGAGCGGAGTTCTTTTTTAAAAATTTTTTCCAGGCAGACACCCATTTCAGCAAATCCTAAATTCATGGCCATCCTGGGGGTTCTGGTATTGGAACGAATTCATCAACCCCCCCATTCCTCACAAACCCCTCTGCGGGGGGACGAGGGTGGCCACCTTGAACAGCCCAGACTCCTGCCTCTGAACCTCAAACCGTTGAAATGGGTAGATCAGAGGGTGTGGACTCAAGACCTGGAAAAAAATTCTCGTACACCTCAAACCCACATAGACATATAGATGTATATCCCACCATTATTATCATTGCATTAGAATAACGGTGGTTTCGCTAGACCAACCCAGGTAGACTCTTCCTGCCACTGGGGGCTCTACGGTCAAAGGACTTCGGAAAGTCCGGCTTGATCCGAGAGTCCCCTGAAACGCGTGTCGGCCACGTCTAAACTGGTCCCCCTCTGCCCACACCTTGGACATTGACTCCCATCATCCCCGGCCACCGAGAGGATGGGAGTTGTAGTCCACCACCCCCGGAGAGGTGGGAGCTCTGGGCCGAAGAAGGCCGTGGCAGAAGGATGGCTGGATACCCAAAGGCTCTCGGCATCCCATTGACAAGCCCCCCCCCAGAGAGTGGGGAGATGGGAGAATCGAAGGCTATTGATTGGGTTAATTGGACTCCAAGGGCATAAGGGGGAGGGGGTGGTTAATGGGAAAGGGGTCCACGTGTGGGGCAGGGCTGAGAAACCCCCCCATCCCGTCCAGCTCAGCCTTCGCTGGGCTAAGAGACCCACCCCCTTCTGCCCCGGGGAAAGCAGGATGCGTTTATAAGGTGGCTCGTGGCATAGCAGGCATCAGAAGACCAGATCCGCCGGGTGGGGGTCGGCCCTACACTCAGGTAAGGCCTCGGGAGCACCAGAGAGCTTTTGCAGGAGGCCGGGGAGGGGGTATTATGGGATGCAGGGAGATGGCTCCGTTTCCCCCCCTAAGTGGGCTCCATTT